AGTATTTTTCAGTTCATCTTTGAGTAAACCTGAGCTTCTATCTGAAAACAGGCCATTGAGCTCTGCCCGATTGTGAAGAAATATTAAAAGCCATTTGAATCAACTACAATATCAATCTATTGGTGTTGCAAATATCCAATTATCTATATTCATTGTAAGCACCACAAATAAAACAAAAACAATACCTAGGTGCTGCTTACGAGGAATTCAGGCTTTGAGAACCTGATTTCAATGAACTGCAAAGACAAAGAAATGAGAATTCATTAAAAACTCTGTACTTAACAGAAGGGTTAAAATTTGCCAGGATAGGGACTTGCTACTCACTCAATAGCACCATCTCAGCTTCCTTTCTTGGGTTTGTAAGACTCCGAAATTGTGTCCAAATTTGCCTATCAAGAAATGTCGCTACATTGCAGAAGCACGTGGGTTTCCAGGCAAGGCCAGGCTGGATGTTGCCTAGGAAACCATTACTGGTTTCTGCTACAGCTAAAACAGAAAATGTCTGTTCCTGAGGCAAGAAAGGCATCAGAATTCTGTCTCGAGCCCTTCTATAGTTTCTGCAATCCTCCCTGCTTACCTGCCCTCTATCCACTGCTCCTATTTGACCTGATTCTGTGTGGTTCCTGATTCCCAGACATTCACTTGAATTTGACTCCCTCACTATCTAGACAGAAGTAAAAACCTAATGACTGCAAACTTGTTTGGTTTTACCTACATAGTACTTTTGTTTATTTATTTTGACCAATGTTTAAAAATCAGGATATATCTCACAAAAACCTTTACAGTTTTTCTTTTTGAAAAATTGGAATACCTGTCAATAACTGAAACCATATTCTCTCATGGGGCAATCTGCTAGAACAGAATGGCTAATGCCTACTTAAATGACACGTGTTCTCTAGTTTGCCGCAATCCCCACTATTCCCTATTATCTCCAACAGTGAGGCTGAGTATTAAGTTTTCATTTACCACTCTACTTTCATTTTTGTTTTTCTTTACAGTGGAGAGGTATTTCTCTCTTCCCATGTATTTACAAGAAGTGGCAAAATGAGATATGAGAGGTTTAAGAATTTCTAGAAAAAAAATACCTTCTTGGAGGAAACAAATACTATTTCTGTATGTTTAATATGGAAAATGAGTATACATACAAAGAACAGACCCTGCCCATTTACCCTCTTATATCTTATGTCTAATAGCTACAGCCATTGGAGTTTGTGACTTCTGCTCTAGTTCTCAGATATCTGGGTTTTCTTGGAGTGGATACTATGCTCTGGATTTATCCCCAGTCCTAGCTTGCTGCTTCATTTCCTTAATTCGCCCCTGCCTACAGACCAGGAGAGGCAATCATACCTCCAATAGTGAAGGCTCTGGGTGGTTCTACTTGCTCCTCCTCATTATCTACAAATAAGCTGATTTCCACAGATGGGCCATAACATTTCCTTCTCATTTAGCAATAAATGCTAGATAGTCCATGATTCTTCATATAAAAGAATCTGGGTATCCCAGCTCACTTATCTCCCTAATCATTTAATTTTCTTTGTAATTGTGGTTGTGTGTAGATTATGCTATAAACATCAACTAATTTCGCCAATGTTTTTTTGTTGTTGTTTTGGTTTTGTTTGTTTGTTTGCTTATGAAAAAGAAGGAAAGGGAAGGAAGGAGGGAGAAGAAAGGAAAAGGAACACAAATAGCACTCAACGAACTGGACTATTATCATTAGGGATGTTTAGACTGCATAACCCAGAATGACCTCTTCAAGGAGATGACATGTGAGCAAAGATGGGACAAAATGAAGGAATGAGCGTGGGGTTATGGGGTCTCTACAGGGCAAGAGCCTGCCCCAAACAGAAGCACACGGGCGTGTTCTGGAAAGAGCAGATGGGCAGATGGCATCAGGCCTAGTGGGTCGTGTTCTACTTCCTCTCCCCTTGGTAATTCTCTCAGCCTCCTGGAGACAAGGCAAGAGTTCACTTCCGTTTTCTGCACTCTCCCTTAATGAACCTTAACCTAAAGGTGATGGACTGAGGGCTGAACGGGTTTAGGTCTTTGTCCCCCAAATGTAAAATAAATGATCAGGGTAGTCCAGGTTGGGTTCGAATAAGCACGCTGGATCGGGCGGGATGAGGCAGGGAGCTGGCAGCTGGGCCCCTCTGGTAGCACAGAGAAGAGTCAAAACTAGATGTAATGAGTGCGGTCAAGGAGGAAGCCCCGAGCCCCTTCCCCACGGAGGTGGGAAGGCGCGGGGCCATGCCCTCCAGCGGGCTGCTGCTGCAGCCTCCACCCAAGCCCGCTGACGGGAGTGCCGGTTCTCCCCCGATAGGATAACGATGACCCAGCACAGCAGCACGTCGCCAAGGGGAGCTCCCAGCTGCCTTTTTCTGCGCGGGTGCCAGTGCAGCATGCCCCCTGACCGCCCTTCCTTCCTCCTCTGGACCAAGTGATGAAAGGACAGGACAATAGGGAAATCCTCCTTGCATTAGCGGGCAAGTATGCGACCCTCATCAGACACATCCACGACGTAAAGTATTCGCATCAGCCTCGTGAGCTGGGGCCTAGCCCCTGGCCATCAACCGCATGCCGTGTATCCTTAAGACATCCACTGAGAACTCACTCAGACAACACGTTTTAGCATCTTTTCCCCCTTTGGGACTTTCCCATTTGAAGAAATAATAAGCTCGCTCTCCAGTTTTCTTTAACAAACTAAGCATGTGACAAGCAAGGTCTCAGATTTTTTCTTTGCCTATTTCCTCCTAAAATTTAAGTCTGCGGTTAGGTAAGCTCCGCACGACAGTTTCTCCTTCAGACTGTGGGCTAACGCAGCTCTCTGAATAATACCCCACATTTTCTTGTTTTTTCCCGAGGAGCATAAGCAATCAGAATTAAATTGTACATAAGCGAGGTATAAGAATTTTTCCCAGGGTCTTGCATCTGCACCTGCACCCAATGTCAAGGACTTCTGAACCTGCTGTCACCAAACAGACGCCTGAAACCAAAGCCGTGACACGTTAGGTGGTAAACTTGGTGCTGAGCCCTCGGGGCCAGCCTCCGTACCCCTACAGGTCATAATTAAATGGTCTGCTCGCCTTTGCCACAATATTCTAATTCTGTATGTCACCATTCCCTCCGTGGAACCCTGTAGGCATGCAGCCGCCGACCAGGAGGTGTGAAGTGCCCAATTGGGGGCAGGGCAGAGAGCACAGGGGTAGGCTGAGGCAGGCTGGAACTCCAAGTTCCTACTTCGTAGCTAACCAGCCTGGGCGGACACCCTGCAGGGCTGGTTTAAAAAGTAACAACTAGTGGACGTGCATGTCTGGAATGTAAAGGGGACGCCCAGTAAATGGCTGGAGTAATTATTGTTGCTGATTCTGTAAAATGAGTTAATATAAATTATTAACATTCTGAGCACTCAGTTGATGATATACACAGTATGTGTTCAGAATGGTATACTCAGTATGTATTTGTGATTGATTATCGTGATCTAAGGGAACCCAGATGCCTTGTCAATTTGGGATCTTCAGACCTCACCGAGGGAATGCTCTGTAGGTATCTGACTACAATCCCTGATTAGGAAAGGCAAGCGTCTGAGTATTGTCAGAAAAATCCTGGCATGACTTAGTAGGTTGAATTCAGCCTCTGAAAGGGAAATGAAATGATAAGATATGCATCTTAGAAAGAGCAAAGACTGTAGGTTGGAGAATGGGGCAGAGGAAGAAAAGAACACATGTGGGAAGATATATTAGGAAGCCACAGCCAGATTTCAGATTTGAGCTAAGTAGCTGCTATAGGGAGAGAAGAGCACTGATCACAGTGGTCTAGAAAGGAGAATCTACCCTAGTCCTGGTGGAGGAAGGCAAGGAAGGAATCCCAGATGATCTTGCAATTTCTATCATGGAGCAATTAGGTAAATACTGACTTCACTTACTGAGAGGACGAACAAGCTTGGGGAATAATTAGTTTAGAATTTACTTTAAATTGGATCCTTACATCGTCACAGAGTTTATTCAACCGGGAACAAAGAGACATTTCTTTCTTCTTAGCTATTTTTGTCATGCATTTTAAAACTGCCCCATGATTTAACTAGCATGCATCACCAAGAATAAATGCATATATAGAAAATAAACAGTCTTTTGTTCTCATACAAATATATAAGGTGGCTGAGTCCACAGTTAAGCAACACCTAGAAATCATGACTAAGAAAATAGGATATTGACATAGGACTCAAAGATTTATAGTCAGGGGTCAGAGAAATTGGTAAACATCCCATTCAGAGAAGTGAGAGTAATTTACAGTTCTCCATATTTTTGAGATTTATTTTTTTATTTTAGAGAGAGAGGGAGAGAGCATGAGCGGTGGAGGGGCAGAGGGAGAGGGAGAGGAAAAATCCTTGAGTAGGCTCCGTGCTGAGCCGGAGCCGGACACGGGGCTTGATCCCAGGACCCTGAGGTCATGACCTGAGCCAAAATCAAGAGTTGGTTGCTTAACCAACTGAGGCACCCAGGCACCCCTTTATTCTCCATTTTCATTTGTTTGAATATATTTCAGAGATTCAACAATAAAATATTAAGAAAAAGAATGTCCTAAAGGAGGAAGAGAGGAAGGTAACAAGACATCAGCAATGACATTGGTTTTGTAAATGGTAATTTGGAAAAATATTTAAAAGTCTGCTATTTTATTGGTATAATAGTGATACACAATTGATACATAAAACAAATAATACAATTTGGGTCAATCATTATAATTATAAAGCAAAAGCACTCATTTGTAAAGAGTCTGACCAGAAGCCACTTTTTGCAGTGCTATTTTCAGTCATTTTCATATTTTTAGTAAAATTTTTATTTTTTTTAAAGATTTTATTTATTTATTTGACAGAGACACAGTGGAAGAGGGAACACAAGCAGAGGGAGTGGGAGAGGGAGAAGCAGGCTTCCCGCAGAGCAGGGAGCCCGATGTGGGGCTCGATCCCAGGACACTGGGATCATGACCTGAGCCGAAGGCAGCCGCTTAACGACTAAGGCACCCAGGCTCCCCACGATCTGACAATTTTAAATAGTTTTTAAATAGTTTTTCTCTATAAAAGTTCACAAATTCTCTATTATTTAGAGGTAAGGGACATTGCTAAACCATTCAAGGCCCAATTCTCCTAGGATATTAAATTATTCTTTATGAAAAAGGTTGTAAACCTTTTTTTTGCCACCCCACCCCCCCCGAAATTTATGAACTGTGTCTCTGGGACTATGAGCCTGAGACTCAGGAGGCCTGGTCCTTAGTCCAAGCTCAGTGGCTAGGCTGGCTGGGATTTGGGCAGTTGCTAGAACTCCCAGAGCCTCAACTTGGCCTAAGGCCCTTTCCTCTTCCCCACTTGTCAAGTCTGTTCCTGCAGGGATAGGGACACACCAGTCCACAGAGCTGTGCCATCAAATGGGGTACCTGTCAGTGTTTATATTCTATTCAGTGATAGTCATCTAAAGCCTATTTTTATGTTACTGAAGCATGGATATATGTATACTAATTTCTAGAATAAATTGAACATTTACCACATGCCAACCACTCTGCTTAGCACTTTGCATATTCAATCTCCCCTGAGGGATTTGGGCCAGAGAAGTTAAGTAACTTTCCCAAAATCACACAGCTCACACGTTTCAGACTTGAACTCAACTTTTCTGCCTACAAAGGCCATGCTCTGAACCACTAAGCTGTATTGGAGCAGAACAGAGAACTTGCATAAAACATACGAATTCTAAGAAAGTCTGTAGAAAATTTTAAGAAGTCCTGACAGAATGGGGTTTTCTATAAATTCCTCTCTTATAATTTGGCTCTTCTCAACCTATAACTTCCCAAACTCTAACTCCAGCCTTGCTCCTCAACAACACAGAAGTGTGCATATACTGACTCAGTGCAGAGCTTAATTCTTAAAAAGCCACTAAATTGAACTCATGACAAGTTTTAATCCAGTCTCAAAATTCTCAGTATACTATCAGAGAAGACTTTGTGCCTCAGTAGAAACAAATTATTCATATGTGCTTGAAAGTGCTAAATGCAAGTGCTTTGAAGAGAAATGATCCATCAAGGATACACAGACTGTTTTAAGCCACAAAAAGAATACACATACTGTTCTGTGACTTGCCAAATTTGATCCTTTTTTAAGGTAGCCACTCATAGATTTGAACATAAACACACAGCAGTTTGCTGAAATAAGTATATTCTAAGTACATATTTCGTAGGTTGATTTCTGGCCTGCTTGCACTCCGTTCCAAGATGATAAGAAAAATAACAGGGTTCCTGGAAATAGAAAATGTGAATTAAATGATATCAGCTCATATAAAGATCAGCTTAAACTAATCTGTGGCTGGAACTATTAAAAGAGTTGTTAATATTAAAGGAACATCATTTTTATCCCGATACTCATATTTTTTGATGTCTAAAATATTTGGCTTTTATGGGTTTGCTTTTAAATAAAGCATAGTTTAAAATACATTATAAATTTGTAATGGCATATTAACATACATTAATGGACACCGAAAGGCAAAACCTCAGTCCTGACTGAGTCCTGATTCTGCTACCGGCATCCCATGGGGTTAAAACAGACCAGAGAAAACCAATCCGTGGTGAACACTCTCAATTCAAACAGGGGCTCCCAGCCTGCAGTGGGCCTCCATGCTGCTCAGTAATTATAGCCCCCTTCATCTCCCAGATGATGATTTCATACCTTCTCCTTGATCCTCAAACCTCTAATAGCACCTGCCTCAGGTTCACTCTCAGCGGGTGACCTTGACTTCACTGCCTATTTCTCTGAGAACATAGCAGTTGGGAAGAGCTCTGCAAGCTGGTGCCTCCACACCTACCCATACAGCAGCCTCATGCCCCTGTACCCAGCCTTTTCCCATGTATGCTCCTAGCCAAGGCCAACCCCTCTACTTGGGCACTAGATCCCAACCAATCACCAGCATTGCTCCTGCATCACCTGTTTTCCCTATTTACTGACTTACTCCTATGAGCATACAAATATACTTTTTGTTCCCCTCTTAAAAGAAAATAAAATTCTCTTAACCTTCCTTCCCCCTTGTGGAGGAAGAAAAATTTTCCTCTGCCCGTCAAGATTCTTCTGGGTGGTGTAAGAAATTAACATGAAACAAATTAACAGGGCAAAAAAAAAAAAATTAATTCATATGCACAGAGGTCTCATAGATACGGAACCTAAGAACTGACCAAGGCAGGCAGCTTTTATACTTTCTAGACAAAGGAATGTAAGTTTATGAGGAATTGACAGGACAAAGAAAACTTATGTTTGGGACTGTCAATTAGCAAGGAATATAAAGAGAATTTGGGCTGGGGTGGTAAATCAGCAAAAGTAACAACGTTTGCTTATGTAAGCTTCTTCAGCCCTGATTCCCTGTCTCTGATGATAAGGATGTGTCTCTTCCTCCCAGTGTCGGGAGGGTACCTTTCACATGGGAGATTTATGACCTGCTTTCTAGAGACCTAGGATGGTCAGACTGTTTTTGTTATACTGGCTGTTTCTTAAATAACGTTAATTAAAAATAATCATTACGCCATTGCCACATATTTTGGGGCATCCTGCCCTGGGCTCCCACGCTTTCCAGCGGACTTCTCATTCTCTACTTCCCTTTGTTTATAGTAAAACTCCTCCAGGATGGTATTGTCCCTGATTCTCCTCTTTGTCTTTCTTAACCACTCTAAGCAGGCTTTGTCCCTACCACTCAGTCAAGGTTATCAATGTCCTGCTCAGCCAATGGTCAAATATCCCACTTGACTTATCAACTATCTCTGACACAGACTATGTCTCTTGAGTCCTCCCTTGAAACACTCTTTCCCCTCGGCTTCCAGGATCTCCCACTCTCCTTGTTTTCTTCCTGCTTCATTGACTCTTCCTCCTCAGTCTCCCCTATGAGTTCTTCCACTAGCGTAGGTTTTAATTCTCAAACCTCTTTTCCTCCCTAGCTTCACCCTCTCCACCGGTGACAGCATCCAAGCCAAACATATCTCCGGCCTGGCCCTCTCCCCCTCTCCCCCTAACTCCAGACCTGTATATCCAAATCCCCGTTCAACATCTCAATTTAGATGTGTATAAGGAATCTCAAATGTAACAAGCCCCAAATCAAACTCTTGTCTTCCACCCCCTAAACTTGTTTCTGCTAAATTTTCTCCATCTGAGTAAATGGCAACTTCATCCTTCCTGTTGTTCGGGCCCCAAACTACAGAGCTAGGCTTGCCTTCCTTCCTTTTTCTCATACCCTATCTTCTCTCCACAGGCAAATTCTATCACCTCTACCTTCAAAATGGATCTGGAGGCTGACCACTTCTCATTCCTCAGCTATGTCACTCTGGTTCAAGCCTCAACCCTTGTGTTATTCAATAACCTCTGAAGTAGTCTCCTTGCTTCTCCTGCTCCACAGAGTCTATTAGTAAGATGGTGGGAATTTTCTGCCCAAACCCCTCACAATGGCTCCTAGAGTAAAAGCCCAAGTCCTTTCAATGGTCCACGACCTACTTCTCTTTCTTCTCTGACTCCATCTCCTGTGTCTGCCTCTCTTGTTCACTCCAAGCTAGTCACACTCACCTCTTTATTGTTCTCTCTGCTTGGACCTTCCTTCCCCCAGATTTCTATATGGTGTTTCCATCACCTCCCTCTGGACTTTGCTCAAATGTCATCTTCTCTGGGAGACCTTCTCCAGACCACTGTTGGTCCCTTCTAGGTTCTCAGCCAGGTCTCTGTAACAAAAGACAGATTGACAAGAGAAAAGCATACAAATTAGCCTTCAAGAAGAGGGGCACTTGGGTGGTTCAGTCAGTTAAGCATCCGATTCTTGATTTCAGCTCAGGTCATGATCTCAGGGTTGTGAAATCAAGGCCCACATAGGGCTCCACACTCAGCAGGGAGTTGCTTGAGATTCTCTCTCCCTCTCCCTGTCCCCCACCCCCTGCTTGCTTGCTCTCTTTCTCTCTCAAATAAATAAATAAATCTTAAAAAAAAAAAAATGTTCAATGAAGACACAAAGCAAGGTTAAGCCTGAGTGTTTTTTACTCTGGGTTTGATGAAGACTGGTAGGACAGAGGATACCAGCTAAGGGCGATAAACTGGGGGAACTTACCAAAACCTGTTTGTTTAGATTCCTCTCTGAGTCCTGGTGTCTTTGGAGATAAGGATGCTACTTTCTTCCTGGTAAGGGGAGAGCACCTCTCTCAAGAGGGCCTTGTGACCTGCTTCACGGGAGGCCCCAGAGTCATTCCAGCACGAGCCGTTTCTCGAGTCCCCTTGTCTTAAAATATTCAGCATGCTGAGGTGCCATATTCTGGGGTAGTGGGTCTCAAACCCTGTCACTACCCCATTTAAAATTCCAACCCACAGCCCCTGCATCCTCCTCATCCAACAATCATGTTCCTCTTCTACCTAACATATTATTTTACTTATTTATTTATTTATTTATTTTAGTTGTCTGATTCCCCCAACCAAATGTCAACTCCATAGGGGCAAGGTTTTTTTTTTTTTTTAATGCCACAATTATTTATTGAATGAATGAAAGAGCTAGTGGATGGGCCACGGTTAATGATGTTGACGTATTTTATTATACACTACTACATACCTGGTGCTCTGGGTCTATGTTCTCATTTAACCCTTGCATCTATGTAGTGACTGTTATTGTCATTATTTTGCAGATGAGAAAATCAAGCCACAAGGAGTTCAGTGACTACCAACATCATGCAGCCATAAATGACAAAGTTCATTATCAAACCCAAGTCTGTGTGGCCCCAAAGCTACTTTATTCACAGCATCATAGCTCTGGCTTCAATTCACACCATCAGTAGACATGCAGTCACCATATCTCAAATCCACATCAAGGTTTAAGTGGTCCCCAGACAGGGTACGAGGGCCCGGGTCAGTTCTAAATGCCACACCATAGGGATGAGCTTCACCTAACTCCTTTTACAGGCTGTCACAAGCCATGAGTTTTCTGTACCATTTCAAACATCTGAACATTCGGAACAATCTGGATGATCCGTTTACCAAAGACTTTCTGCAGGTTAACATCTGTTCTAAGTGGTGTTCGTATTCTTCTTTCCACACATCTGCCTTAAATAAAAAGGAAAGTGGACTCTTCAAGAAGAAAGGAGGAGAGAACAAAATATTTCAGAGAGCTATAGGTTATCTGTATAGAATATTTCTGATAGAATAGACAAGAAGCCCATGACCGCATCACTTCTGGCAGGACAAATGAAGGATTAGGAAACAAGAAAGGGAGAGGGACTTCTCACTCATACCACCTGTACCTTTGGAAGTTCCCTGCCATATGGATTAAGTACCTTCCGAAACTAAGCAAGATAACAATAGCGGTGCACCCTGTCTGGCCTCCCACTGAGAGGGCAAGGGGACACACCGCAGTCCTAAGTGCCCTGAGCACTCCGTCACGGTGACAGTCATTCAGGCTTGCTCCAGGCCTCAGTTCCACCATCTGCAATGGGAAGACAATGATTAAAACTTGCCTGACTTTATAAGCGGGGTCTGTTGCAAGATTCTAAGTGTAAAACCTTCTACACGCATCAGTGTTCATTATCATTTAGGGGAAGTTTGGTGGGTAAGAAAGCAAGCCAGCTCACTGAGCAATGGAATACAAAATGGGGCCAAAAGACAGCAATACTGTCTCCATATAGTGTAATAAGTTCTTAGAAGAAAATCAGTAGAAAAATCTGCTGTTTGGTCTCAAACAATTTTATTTTAAATTCAAAGAGGATAAGCAAGATTATCATCTGCATCATTCCTGCTCCTCTGTTCTCTGGTCTTAGAATTATGCCAATTCTGGTCATGCTTCCCTAGACCTCACAAGGCCTTTCACCCTCACAATGCACAGATGAGCTGGAACCTGGAGAGAGTTGAAACTCATTTCTAGAATCAAATAATGGCCAATTTTCAGCTATGTAATACACTACTCTGAACTATCCATTGGGTTCTAGATGCAGCCTTGCCTTGAGACACGCAACGAGTATATGAAAAATCATGGAAAAAAATGCAAAATAACTTATTTATAAATAGAGATAAGAGATAAGGAAATAAAAACAATGTGTAATGGGTGGAATTCATGAGCCACACACTGAGTATTCAATGAAGTACCGTGAAATGACATTTCTCAAGAAAAGGCAGCTGGGTTGCTTTATAGGCCAATTTACCTAAACAGCACAGTATTAAAAAAACAAACAAAAACTAAGTGCAGAGGGAGTGTATTTCTGGACTGTTTTGGAGCCTATTACTCTTGTTATTTTAGACCATTAAGTGGGATGAGGAACCCATTTTAGAGTTAATTTAGACCATTAAATGGGATGGGGAAATACTCGGTCCTAAAGTATTTAAAACACCATAGAAGGTCCACAGTTTGGGGAAGAACATTTTTAGAGCTTCATTTCCTCATTTTTCCTTTTTTCTGATTCTTTTCCTCCTTCTCTTTCATCTTGGTATTTGTAGGGAAGAGGGTATTCCTCGGCCTCCAAATCATGTCCTTCCAAACCCAGGAAAACAAAGCAGGGCACTTATCTAACCCACCGGAAGACCCCGCCCCCATACCCTCCAGTTCCCTGCGGGGTTCCCAGGTTTCCCGTGGAACAGCAGAGGAGGATCAGCAGGTCTCGTGGGTGTGCCACTTTCTGAGCTTACTGGGGCCTGTAGTCCTCTGTGGCCATGGACTGGGCTGCTCCTCTACCCACAGGGCCATGGGAAGGTCAAGGGAAAGGATCTGAAAGCCTAATGTAAACTAAAGCAGCACAGGATTACTACTATGAAAAATTAATTAGAAAAGGGAGCAATCTTCTCATTTTCTTATTTCTTTTTTCTCACTTCCCCTTTCTCTGCGCTCCCCGCCAATCTTTCTCTCCCCCACTCTGCTTTCTCAGCGGGGAACACACACAAGGTAGTAAGAGCTGAGGGTCTGAATTGTTAAAACAGAACAAAGTTTAAGAGTCAATATAAGCTACACCCAAATTACTGAGAAATGTGAAATGAAAACGAGCTCAGCCCCAGATTCCAGGAAAAAGCTACATTTTTGGATTTACTTGCCACTTTGTGTTTTCACATGGGCCGGAGTCTTCAAGCTTTGGTCATTAGTCTTCCGCTTCCTAATGCAAAGAAGTAAATGCTGACTCGTGTCATTTGCCTCAGATACCACCGGAAATGGCATCTTCTCCCCAGCCGCTGGCTCACGAACCCAGCAGCACCCAGACGTGAACTTATCTGCCTAGCAGCCGGGGCTCTGGGCTCTCCAACCTGGCCCTCTGATCGACAGCCGACAAAGGAATCTGTCGAGGGAAGAGATCTAGAGTCAACGGAGAGGTACACTTTTTAATCACCAGTTACTTTGATGAGTAAGTACTTTCCAGTTTTCCCATTTTATTTTAAGCATTAACTTCACATTTCTGAGCAGCCTTTCTTAGGATCCTCTTTTCTTGGGCACTTACTATAGAGTGGAATCACCTTGCTGACGCCTTCACCCTACCCCCACTTAACTGCACAGCCCCAACGAGACAACAGTTATTTTGTAATGAGAAGGATTTGTGATTGGTAAACTACTCTATCTCTAAAAACCTACAGTAAAGAGAGACAGACAGTTGTGAACAGGGGAAAGGATGTGAAGCATCTGTTGTCTGTGCAATCTTGTATGTTGTGGTTGACCACAAAGGCTTGGCATCAGCTCTGACTCCCAGCTCTGCTTTTTATAAAATAGATGACCTTGGGCGGATGACTCAATCTTCCAAACTTAATTTTTCGAATGTATAAAATGGAGAAAAAGAAAATACCGATGTCATAGGGTTCTTAAGAGGAACGAACAGATAGCTGAAACACGTAACACACTGGTGACGTGGATACTAAACATTACTGAATAACAAGGGAACTTAGCATTTCTAAATAATAAATGTAAGGCCTTCAGTCAACTGGAAAGCTCTCTTAACTGGTAAAACCCATCCCTCAAACATGCTGAGGTGAGTTCAGACATTCCTTTCTCCAGCTGAGCTCCTCACCTCTCAGACCTTGCCCCCCTTCTGGTTCCAAGCCATAGGGTTTGGGACTGGCGAAATCCTCAGTCCTGCTGCCAACGCACAGAGCAGTGGGAACGCAGGTCTTCCAGATCCTTCTACAACATAGTGCGGGCAGGGAGAGGGCAGACAGAGACTGACTCTTAGAATCCCATTTTTACATTCAAAACCTATTTTTCCCCAGAGAAACACTATTGCACTTAGCATTCAGATACTACACTGTTAATAAGAATAACAGCAATGATAAAAGAATATCCATTTTAAGAGCTCTTTCGCGTAATCTCCTTGGAGGAGCATCGGAAGCCATTTCTCCCATTTAAATGCTGAGGTAAGCATCTCGCACAGAGATGAAGTGAGCTCTGGAGGTGGCGAAACCCCAGCCAGCCGACCTAGCCTCATGTTCACATCACCCGTTCAATTGGCTTTTGTGACCATTCCTGGAGACAGAATTTTCAGAATCCAACCTGTCCATCAGTTGAAAACCACTTAGTCATTATGGGCTCCCCCTCACCCTTCCTTTTCAACCGTGGGAACTTTTTATTCAACCACCACTTAGAATCTGGAGTAGTCAGCAGAAGTCCAAAAAACGTTGAGGCACAAGGAGAGCTTTGGCACAGACCTGACCTTTCCACTGACCCACTAGGAGGAATAGTTAACTACCAGTGACGCAAGCCCAACTAAGTGAACTTCAAACCCACTCCGTTTCCTCAGGGGAAAAACTTACAGCTGTGTACAAAACATGGCTTTGTTTTGTTTTTCAACAGAGAATGAAAAGGAAAACGATATGCAAATATTTTTTTTTTCTAGATAAGGCTATTTTTTCCTCTCCATCTCAACTAGTATTTATAGCTGGGGTTAAAAGCTCAGGCTCTGGAGCCATATTTCCTCCTAAAGAAACAAAACAATATCTTAAGCTGATCTCGTCCATCAGAAGATTCATTGGCAATGACAGACCAGTTCTGCCATTTGCTAGCTGGACAGCCTTGGGTGATGGACATAACCTCTCCAAGCCTCAGTGTCCTTATCCATACAGTGGCGAATATGAGAGTTTCTACCTCACCAGGCTGTGCGCAGAGAGAAGGCCTGGCACATAGTAACTGCTCGGTGAATGCTAACCATTATGCAGAAGACACTAGCTGCAAGGGGTAGAAGGATGGGTGAGACCCACTTCTGCCATCCAGGCATAACTATATCCAGGACTAGGATATACTGGGGTGGAACGGCACATGGGCGGTTAATCATCGTACAAAATAGAACCAAGTGCTCACTCAGGGCAGCCATCAGAAGAAGCAGGTTTTTCTGTCTGGGGGAAAAAAGGGAGACCTTCAGACAGACCTGCGTTTGAAACTGGATCTTAAGGCAGAAACAGAATTTCAGTGGGTTAGGGAACATTGATCCTGAACCACAGAGCAAACATAAAGAGGTGAGAAAAAACTCCCTTGGGACACATGGGCTCCAAAATTCATCCACAGGCGTTCGGGAGCTGCACAGGAGGAAGGGTCACCTCCTAGGTTAAAAAACAGAGTTTCTAAATACAAAATGTTGGGAGTTATGCTAGCATACTAAACGAAAATAAAGACACGAAAATCAAAACCCTAGATGATCACGTAGTAGGTGAGAAAACACAAAATAACAACCAGACCCTTTTAGAAGTCTTTCAAAGTGAAGACACACTTCCTTAAGATTTAAGAGTAATTTATGGAAAGTAAAAAAGTTCATCATAAAATCTAATAAAACAGAGGTAAAATTGGTCACTGTGCTCAGCTTCCCAAAATACATTGCAACATCCTCCTCCCTAAAGCATAGCCTCAAGGATTACATCTTATTTTTTAATGCCAAGAAATAGTTGAACTGTTCTCCATCCAGGCCATCATTCAAGGATTTTGAGGGAGGTTTTTAGGAATAATGGAAGCAGCCAGGGTCACGAACCATAAAAAAATGCCTTGATCAAGCATTTCAGAAGCAGAGGTTATTTCCACCTGGTTATCCCCAACCAATGTGGCACGCATAAATTATATAGCAGCTCTCAGAAAACGCACAGCAAGAATATGCTGCCGTCCCCACAGATGATCGATTTTTACCTTTAGGAAGATTGTCCAAAGGTCACAAGAGAATTATCTTAGGAATTCAGCCACAGTTTGATAGTAGGATAAATGGGCGTCTAGAGAATTTGAAAGTGATAAGAGGCCCACACAGACGGTTTACTCCTTGCCCCCTCCCCCTTCCCATCCCCTGGGAACTTTACTCTACTCACCTGAATACCCTGAAGCTCAGGAGACAAGTTTGGGCTGACTAAATTTATTGAGCACTTAAAAATGTGGCAGACCTCACGCCAATGACTTTGTTCACGTAACCCTCACTTCTTAAAAAATTCATAGTATTATTCTAGTTTTGTTGATGAGTGTTCTGAAGTGCAAAAAAAAATTTACTTAAGCTGCCCGGGGTCGCAGAGGCGAGTCAGCGGCGGAACCGGATATAAACCCAGGGGTTTGACTCCAGGCCCCCCTCTGAGACACTGGGCTTCGCCACAATACAGGAGTCATCTGCATACAAATGGTGATTGATAAGAAGACCCGAATAATTTGTTTCCATCCAAAGTGGGACTTTTTTTGGTGTGTGTGTCGTGGGGAGGTTGCCCTTAATAGTTGCGCTGGGAAAACGGGGGTAAGCCAGAACCGTGTGGGGCAAACTGAGAAGTATGATCAGCGTATTGACTGATGCCGTGAGCGTGGATGGATTTACCCCGGCAAAGAAGGTTGAAGAAAAGAAGGAGCCGGTTAGTGGGTCCTGAGAGAGACCAACAGTTGGGGAATTGCCCGAGAAAGAGTAACTCACACAGGATCGTGGGGGAGGTGAGCCGGGAGACAAGGGTGTCAGGCTCGGGCAGTTTTCCGAAGGGAGTTACCCGGGGCGCCCCGGCCCCGAAGAGCTGGGAATGCGGCTGGGGTGATAAGGCCCACGAGGTGGCCATTGACAGGGGCGGCCGGGAAATCACTGGTGATTTCCTGACCAATATTTCTCCCGTTTGGTGGAGTTGGAAGCCGCATTAAAGTAAAAGTCGTGAGTGGGAGGTGAGGACTCAGCCACAGGGCAGCGCAAACAGCTCTTGTTGAAAGTGGCCTTGAAGGGGAAGCCAAAGATAGGACTGTCCTGGAGGTGGAGTCAAAGAAGTTTCCTTTCTTTTTTAAAGCAAGAAACTAGAATGTGTTTAGTGCTTAAAGGAAGGAACCAGCCAAAGGAGAGTGAAGAAAAAGTAGAATGCATAATTATCCCCTCTCCAGGGGACATTCTGGAGCAAAGTTCCTGAGGAGGTGGAAGGGCGAGCCACCTGAGCTGAGGAGTTACCTTTACAGGCGAGGAGGTATGGCTCTGCCCCGGCCGGAGGGAGGAGAAGGGGACTGTGGACTAGAAGGTTCCATGGAGGGAACGGGAGCGAGGTGACGTCTGCAGGCTCGGTTTTTCTCTGAAGTCCCAGCGGGGAGGGGTGGTCCTGCCCGAGGTTTAAAGGTGCCTAAAGCACGGCCCGCTCCGTACTAGGCCCTTGAAAGACATTGCCGTGATCTCTCATCTTCACTGCTGTTCAGCGAGGTAGGTGATCTTAGCCCGTTTGGCACCAGAGGGAAACGGCGGCTCAGCACAGTGGGCAGTCAGCCCAAGAGCGCACAGCTGTTTGGGGCCAGAGTCCACGTCTGAGTTCATTGGCTCCTGGAAAGGAAAGCCAGCTCACTGCCTTTCTGTTATCTGGCAGAGTCTTCGGGGAGTAATAGGGAGTTAGCGGATGTAGTTTAAATAATGGTTTGAGATCAGAATGTGGAAGTTCGTCAAAGACTGTACATGATTGAAATCCTATTTTTGTTTATATGACTTGCTTTGATTTTTTTTTTTTTTTTTTTTTACTTTTAGGAGATCCTTTTGTAAAACAAGAGTTGTTATTTTTTTTTAAATGGGGCTATTTGAATAAAGGTTCCATGGTTTATCTTTCGTTTTTAGAGAAGTTACCTGCTATCAGGTATTATGAACCCCCACTTCATTCGTAAAGGATGTCACCTGCGTTTCTTTCTAAAGTCCATAGGAACATTTCCTATTAGCCTATTATTATGGGAAAAATACTTTTTTAAACTTGATAATTTTCACTCTTCAAGTGTGTGAAATCCCTCCGTGGATATTTTATTGCGAAAGAATCACAGATTTAAGATGGTGGCCCTGTAGGGATGGTGATGATACAAGTTGATTAGTTCTGCAGGGATTCCTGCCTCCACGAGGAAAACTTGTGGTTAAAATGGAACCCACTTTGAAACCCACTAGTTTCAGTTTTCCATTTACATCACGTGTGTTTGAGATGTTAGATGTGGTGAGGACTCACTGAATAGCCAAGTTAGAAATATGGGCCATATGGTAGGGTTAGGTGATACAGGGGTGGAGTAGAGGAACCCTGACGTAGTTGGTGGGTGTGTGAGTCAAATTTGCAGAATGACAACTGTCAGAGCCCCAGGTAGACACAGGTGTTCTCTAAATTTTTGCTCAATTAATTAATGGGCTGCAGAGTTGAGGCCTCTTTTAGAGGTGAGGTTATTTGGAGTGGGGGGGATTAGACTCAGACTTTCTCCTGGCTGATAGTTGCAAATAATTTGCATTATGTACCATAGCATCTCACAGTACTTTTATGTGTTTTTTAAAATTTACTCCTAAAACCACTTTTTAAAATAGTAGGCCTGCATTATATCCCCCTTCTTTGTGTTATACAGAAGAGTGTGTTAACTGATTTGGCCCAGAGCAAAAGATGAATGTCTTGAGAACCAGCAAATCTCAGGCCATTCGTTAAGCTTTCCCAAAGAGAAGTTTGAATTGTTTTTCTTCTTTGAAAACCTTATTATATGGCCTGCAGTTTAATTTTTGACAAGTTTAAAGCCCACTTAGAAAACTAATTAAATGCCAAGACCTTGAGGTGAATTCCTGAAAAATAATTGTATTTGTACAAGATGGTACAAATATCTAGTCCATTAAGTGTAAGGGGATCTTGGAAAGTTCAAAACATTAATTTGATTACCAAAATGCAGTTAGAAGGAAATGAACTATTTATATTCCCGGGATAATGTTGCATTAAGATGGTTAGTCTTATGCAAGAAACTTTTAAACTAGTTACAAGTACTTCCTACCACTAATCAAAACAACATCCCAATCGTTAGTAACCACCTCTGATTTAAGACCTCACTGCAGGGTCTCTAGAGCAGCTGACCTATTTCTGTGTCTGTCTTCCTGTAACTAAAGATCAGTAAGAAAAGAAAAAAAAAAATTAACCTAATTTCTACAACACATTGATTAGTGAAAAGCAAATGTTACATGTTTGGTTTGTGATAGTTATACAGCAATAGTCAATGATTTATAAGTCATGCTTATGGAGCTATTAAAAAATTAATTACCCCCAAACAAAAATCTAAGCAAAATTCTTGAAAGTCATTTATTACAGTAGTAGCCATTATTAATTCATGTTTCTGTCAGAGCTTTAGTCAAAGTCCAAATAGAAAGCGTGGAACTAACTTAAAATTATGATTTCAGGAATCATCATGAAACTTTTTTTTTTTAAAAAAGGGTGTTAATTTGAGGTTGGAATCACAGATTGCAAGGATCACCGGTATACCTCCTCCCTCCCTCTTGACTCCTCCAGCTGGCTTTGGTGCTTCATTTGCATACATCCTTTGTAGCTGCTAGCACCTTCTTCAGTATTTGCCTCTTACTGTCCATTTCCTTGCTGCAGCTCTTGAGAGAAGAGACTGCCTTTTTACACGTAGTCCTTCCACCTAGTTCAGTATCCGGTTCGCGATGATCTTTCCCGAATGAGTGCATGAGTTACTCTTATCTATAAAATAGCTACCAAAACAAATAGGTGACTTGAGCAAATTTGAAGCAAAAAAAGAAGCCTACTTTCAAAAGACCAGTAATCTGTTTTCAAATCCCCCTTTTGTTTCATTTTTTGGAAATCAAAAGAGCTTTGAAAATGGAACTTACCAACGTTTCTTTTAGATTTAGCTCTTAATTATTCTTCATTCACCATCCCCCCCCCCCCCAAAAAAAGTCACTTTGTTTTTGTTAGGTTTTGTTTTTAAGTGCTTGGTATCTTAGTTTAAAGGATTCTTTCCCAGGGCGATAGTCCTGCGGGGCGGGGGTCTGATTTGTTAATCCTGTTACAGTCGTGGTGCTCTTTATCAAGAATTTCATGAATTTCCTTTCAGTTTAACTTCTAACTAGAGTGTTCTTTCCAGTCATTTCCTCCTCCCTTCTTTTCCACAGTCTGATCTGCTCGCCTGTTCCACCTCAGAAGAACAGTGAGAAATTCCTAGGGAGACATTTTTGCCCAGTTTTGACTCTGGGCTCTTGGAGCAGCATGTGGGTGGGTTAAGCTCACTGGTGGGGACACAGGGCAGCCAGGATTCCTCAAACACTGGGAGTCTGTGGAATTGTGTTTTGGTTATTCTAAAATCCAGGTCACTTTTTTTGCATGTCTCTTGGTAGAGATCAAGGTATGGGATGAAATATGTATACTGTCACTCACAGGCCCCCGCTTCCCGCCCCCAGTACACATAAACCACCTCTCCTGGGCAGGCAGAGGAAATGGTTGCCTGCCTGCCACACACCAAAGCACTCTTCTATCTTGTCTTCAAATATCTCCCTGACAGGAGCCAAGCTTTTCGATTCAGACCAGCCTGCAGGGCATTCTGCTATAAAGGATGTCTCTGCTGTAAAGGATGTCTCCCTACAGAGACAGACTTTGGCGTCGGTGGTTTTGAATTTTAGCTCCATCACATTGATATCCTTCTCTATAAAATGGAAATAATAAAGATTGTGTCACAAATAGGATTACATTTGTAAAGCACCTGGCATCCAGTAGCCACTCAACAAACATTAGTTTTGCTTTATTCAAAATCTTTCACTCGGATCGTCTCATTCGATCATCACAGAACCCTGCTAGACAAACAGGGCAAACATTGTAAGTCCTCCTCCTCCTTTTATAGATGATTAACCCGGTGTTTTGAAACTTGCTCAGTAATTAGAATAACTAACCCTTATCCATGCTTATTACTTGCCAAGCATTGTTCTAACCATTTTACATTTAGTCCTCGCGTGAAATCTGTGAAGTGGACACTCAAAGTCCCATTTTACAGATGAGGAAAATTGAGGCAGAGAAAGGCTAAGTAAGTGGCAAATAGAATAGTTGGGATTCACACCCAAGTACTGTTGCTCCAAAAGCAGTGCTCTTCAAGGGTATACTTCAGTGCCTCTATTTCCCACAGCTTTTTAAGTAGTGGATTGGACTCCCACTTGTGAGTCCCAGTCTAGAGCACTTCACACCCAGACAAGGAACGCACTGGGCCCAGCAAACAAAGTACCCTGCCTGGAGAGCCACCAGGTTATCAGATCTGCCCACCCATCGCAGGGAGAGAACTCTAATGGAAGGGGATGGTGTTCAATATCATATACGGGACGAGACCCACTATGGGAGCAGAGTGCCAGCCCAGAGAGAGCGTCATGAGAAACTCTGGGAGGAGGTTTCCCCCTTCACTTTGTACTTTGGAGCCTGGGGTCTAGGGCAGGGGGGTACTGTTTGTTCACAAAGACCCTGAAAGTCCGCAGCACCTGTTCCTTCTATGTTCATGGCACTTAGCACTCTATCTGCTCCTGAAGGGCATGACCAGGTTTTACTCATTTTTATATCCCTTCTGTGGAGCACTGAGTAGACACTTAAAGTGTGAGAAATGATTGCAAACAAAGGAACGTGCCTGAGCCCCAAAGGGATCTGGAGTTTGCTTAAGGTTTTATTTTGTTGTACCACAATGAGCTCTATCCTTTTTCTTTCTGATAACAAAATCATGTAAATGAAGATTCTTTGGGGAAAAATAAGCCAATATTTTCAACTGTTCTCTTAGGGCAACTCTTACAGACTACCCATTTTCATGTTTTTATTTTTGTGCTTGTACCCATTTAAAACCACAAATAGTATAGCTTTTAAAAACTGTGTAATTTAATAGTAGCTATCCACCCACCCCTATTAAAATGCTTACTGATGCATAAAAGCCTACGAATATCAAGCCACAATGGATTTTGTTGGCTTCTGTGTAAGTGTATGAAGTGGATGCCATGTTCCTCCCCATCTGAAATCTGTTGGTAATATTGAAGTGTGTTGTTACCTTTTATTCATTAATGGATATGGTTGTAAATGACAGCTTGAAAATAAACTGAAGTTTTGAAGATGAGTTTCACAACTCTTAACATTTTATGCAATGTGCTCAGGAGGAAAAACTTTTCCTCTACCCTGTTATGTTCAGTGTCGGCACCCTGTGAATTAAACAAAGACAGGTTAAAGGAGAAATAGCATACAATTTTTATTAATATTTATGTGCACAGGAGTTCACAGAATAGAAACTCAAAAAAGCAGATTCAGGGGCTTATATACCATTTTAATAAAGGAAAAGGGGTTTGGGTTTCATGGGATGATGAAATGTGGGGACAACTCAGAAGTATATGAAGGTACTAATGGAAAATCGGGGCTATTTTTCTGTAAAGTCGGTTTATGAAAACTCATCTTGGTGTTGACAGTTCCCTATCTTCTTCCTTGACTCTTCTCTTCCTGGTGGGGGAAGGAGCACCTGCCTCAAAAGGAAATTTATACACTGCTTTTAGGCCGGGAACTCTTCCTGTGTCTGTTGATTCTTGGTTGCCTTCAGCTCAAAATAATCCTTATGCCAAAATGGCATATTTGGGGCTGGCATATTCTGATCGTCTTCCTATGGAAAGCAAAGAATATTATAGCTGTAACATGTGAATTATTTCCAGTGTTACTGCCCTTTTTTACAAGTCCTGTTCATGACCCGAGTTGAAGGCAGATGCTTAACCGACTGAGCCACCCAGGGACCCCATACTTTTCCTCTGTTGTTTGTTACATTTCACTGAATTCTTTTTATTAAAAGAAACATACAATTATACAAAGTATATTTACAAAAAAGGAGGGAAGGCAAGCCATCCATAATCCTACATTTCTCTTAAAAGCTATGTTTTTGCATATTTTCTTTCCATGTTATCTATTTCCTATAGTTTCAGCGACATAGGGCTCACATGTGACATGTAACTTCTTCAGTTTAACATATCGCAGCATTCTGGGCGTTCTTGCTCATTCACAGTCCTCATTGTTAAGCAGCTGCAAAGTCTGCCTCCCCGTTCTCCAGGGTCAGACACCTGAGCTGCCTTCCCAGGGCCAGTTTCTCCTCCAGCCAGGGGAGGGCCTGTGGGGTTGGCCGCTTCTGACCTGGTGGAACTTGGGCCTCCCAAGAGCCACGGGGCAGGGGTTCACAGGTCAAGGTGAGGCCCGGCCAAGCAGGGCTTATGGCTCCTCCGACTCCCTCCTTGCTCTCTTCCCACTCCCAGGCTTAAGGGCGTGGACTTCCCAGGCCAACCCTCCGTCCCCTTCCCCGAGGCTTGCCCACACCGAGAGCCTTCCGGGGAGGGGGGGTAGGGGTCGCTCCCAGCCACTCTCTCCTTCTGTCCTAGCAATCTGAAGACCTGCCGCACGTAAAGGAAAGACCTAGGCCGCGCGCCCTGGGCGTCATGGTCCACCTGCAGGCCTCTGAAGTGCAGCAGCTGCTCCACAACAAGTTCGTGGTCATCCTGGGAGACTCGGTCCAGAGGGCCGTGTACAAGGACCTGGTGCTCCTGCTGCAGAAGGACTGCCTCCTCACTACCAACCAGCTCAAGGCCAAGGGGGAGGAGACCTTCGAAAAGGACGAGCTGGTGGACGGAGGCCAGATGGGCCCCATGCACAATGGCATCCAGTACCGGGAGGTCCGCCAGTTCTGCGACGACCACCACCTGGTGCGCTTCTACTTCCTCACGCGCGTGTACTCCCCCTACCTGGAGGCCATCCTGCAAGAGCTGCAGTCCAGCGAGCACGGCCTCCCGGATGTGATCATCATGAACTCCTGCCTCTGGGACCTCTCCAGGTACGGCCCGGGCTCCTGGTGGAGCTACCTGAAGAACCTGGAGAGCGTGTTCGGGCTCCTGGGCCAGGTGCTGCCCGAGTCGTGCCTCCTGGTGTGGAACACAGCCATGCCCGTGGGCAAGCAGATCACCGCGGGCTTCCTGCAGCACAAGCAGCAGCCCGGGGATGACTCCCTGAGAGCCCGAGTCATCGAAGCCAACTTCTACAGCTCTACCGAGGCGAAGAAACACGGCTTCGACGTGCTGGACTTGCACTTCCACTTCCGCCACGCGGAGCAGCACCTGCAGCGCGACGGCGTGCACTGGGACGAGCGCGCGCACCGCCACCTCTCGCAGCTGCTGCTGGCGCACGTGGCGGACGCCTGGGGCGTGGAGCTGCCGCGGCGCGCCCGCGTGGCCACGTGGATCAGGGAAGGACCCGGCGCGGCAGGTGAGAGGCCGCGGCAGCCCAACAGAGACCCGCGGGCCTGGCCGCCTCCCAGGGGCAGCCCCCTCCTCCCGAGTCCCCCTCTGCCCCCGCCCCCGCCTCCCCGCCTGCCCTTGCCCCCACATCCTCGTCCCTTTCCTTTTCAGCAGGTGATGCCGCGGGTCCTGTTCTGTCCCCAAGATACGTATTTTTCCTCAGACCAGCCTTCCCAGTCGGATCAGTTCTCCTCCAACTATTTCTATTCAGATGTCCCCTCCCCTACCCAGACAGGATTTGCCTCCGAAGATGACTTTATGATTGACCCTCAGCCATCCGTGCTCCCTTTCGCCATGCCCCATCTGCGGCGAGCCCCGGTGGTCCATAGGGGTTTCCCCCGGCACTCACCTCGCGGCCCCTACGGGCCCTGGGGCCGGCGGCCGAGATCTCCCAGGAGACCGGCCCATTCCCGCCCACAGCCAAGGCCTCAATAGACCCTCCTCCTGTTCATGGACTGGACAGATCCTCTGACTCTCCCGAAACCGACTGACCTTGTTAACTTAAGCCTTTGATCCGTGCTTGGACTTCTTTTCGGTCACTGCTGTCACCGATAATGGCAGGGAAGGGCAATCCCCTCCATTTTTGTCGGCTCTGGCCTCTTCCTCTATTCTCTGGGGGTGACCAAGCATTTTTCCCGCCTCCCCACCCCCTATCCTGTCTGTCTTTTTTGTAAACAGAAAATGGAAATAAAGAAGTTGTTTCAGGAAAGTAGTTGTGGGGTTTGGGTGTGTCTATATTTAATGGTGCCTCTCCCTTCCATGAAGAAGACAAAGCAAGGACAGTATCTGCTGACCGTTTATGGCATCTACTTGATAAACCACTCGAAGTGGAATTTGGCTAACATCGTTCTGAAGTTCTCCATAAGATGGACCTGAGTCCTTACCAATAAACAGAAGAGCTTTAACTTTTTGTGATCCTATTTTCCAGAGATTCTCAAAGAGTCATCGAATTTTAAAACTGGGAAAGCTAAATAAATAATATTTAACTGACACAAACAAGGCAACAAGCTAAGAGAGGTGAGTGACTTGTCCTAGGTCACACACAAAAATCCCTCTTCCACTAGTCTTTCCTAGTTTTCCTAGTTTCTGACTAACATGAACTTTCAAACCAGGGGGACTGCTTGCTACCACAGCAATGTCACACCAAGAAGGAGCGTTTACCAAACATGGTCTCTCTATGAAAATGATGGTGCAAACAGCTATAGCTCCGTAACTCCAGAAGCTCACTGGTTAGATGCACAATGTATGTAAAGTAGAGTGCACGGCATGCTCGTGATTTTGTGATTTCTTGGAATAGTCTTGAGTTTTGGACTTGAGAAAATTAGAAAAAAGTAAGGTGCACTCAGTGATGGTGTCTATCACCATTACAAATGAAACTACTGGTCAGAAGGGACCACCCAGGGCACAGCTCTGACAGACGGCCATGACCATCTCTTTGCTGTTTTATGGAAATGTGAACATCAGGAAGACTTTATATGCTAGGGTCTTTATCACCCTAGACTCGTGAAATGTTAATACTTGTATAAAATCGTCGAAACAGGACCTGACTAATGTCTGAATGGTAGATTATTTCATTGGATTGATTTAACTGGTTTGTAAGTCCTCAACTGGACCATTCCTGAAGTTGACAGTAAGTGTCAGGAAATGTTATCCTGTAAAAAAATGAAAGTCATGAAATCACAAAAAAATAGATGAGATCAGCTCTCTATAGGAGAAATACACAGCAGCTTTTAATCTACTAAAAAACCATAAAATTTGTGAAGAATAAGACCGTCTTACTTAACTTTGTGTCTCATATCCTACTGCAATGTATAGCATTTAGTACTGAATAATGTTTCTTGAATGAATCTGAGTGAATGAAGAGTTCTTGGTGACACTGTGACCCAAGAATCTGAGGAGATACTATATATACATGGACATTGAGTCATTGTAGCATATCTAAAGGAATATTGCTGAAACAGCTGGATGACAACCATCAAGGACTCAAGAAAGGTGGTACCTGCAAGGCAGAATTTGCCAGAACGTCCCAGCAAAATCAGGAGAGGGAGCACCTGTCTAACTAACGTCAGTGTTCTAATCCCAGGTAGGAGGTGAATGCACCAGGCTGTGAGATTTGGTAACATCAGCCCTCAAGATAAACCCGTTGCCTCATTCTGACTTTACGCTTCCCAAGCAAGACAAAGCAGTGCTTAGGGGCTGATCTGAGTAAGCAGACTCTAGTATTTATATTTTCATGAATAAACCAATAAATCAGTGGTGTGATTTATGAGTTAGGCTAGTGTGTATTATTCCTCTTTAATCTGATCACGCCAGATGAGGCAAGGAAAATGAGTTCTTAGAGATAAGAGTACTGAGGACCAGACACTGAATGAGGAATCCACTATCTTATATTAGGGATTGAATTGCACCAATCACTTAATGATCCTGTTTCTTTCAGATGGGGAGGGGTGCAGGTAGACTCAGACAGGGACAGTCTTTTCCTGCACAGGTGTATTAATGTCCTAGGGCTGCTGTAACGATTACTACAAACTTGGTGACTTAACACATATTTATCCTCTTAGCAGTTCTGGAGCTCAAAAGTCCAAAATTCACTACCCCCAAGCAAAATCTGTATGGGGTCTCCTGCTGTCCTACATGATCAGGCTTCCACCTGCCCCTGCAATGTCGTCTTCTGGAACTCTCTTCATTGATCTTTATGCTTTCGGCCACACTGGGCTTCTTTCTGTTCATACACAACCTGCCAACCCCTTTCATAACTCGGGTCTTTGTGCTTGCTGTTCCCTTTGCCTAGAATGTTCCACATCCCCTACTCCCTGTTTCTTTGGATATCTAACTTTTCATCCTTCCATCCCCACTTTTCAAGTCCCTTCCTAAAAGGCCTTTTAGGATCATTTCAGCTACAAGTACTGTTATGATCTATCACAGCACGCATTCTTTCCTTGTATTGCTTATCGCCCTCATTCGTGGCTCCAGTAGTTGCCTTTTAGCCCCTCCCACTAGGAAGTAAGCTCCGTAAGTGTTGTTCACTGTTGAATTCCCAATGTCTCAGCACAGTGCTTGGCAAGGAAGGTGTCCAAGTATATTTACTTCCAGATAAATGTTCAAGAACATAATTCGTGTTGTGTACTCACAAAAACATAATTTATATTAAAATTGAGCTGTATTTGATCACTTTTCTTTAGAAAATGTCTCTAGACTTGTCTCATAACGTGATCTAAGTCACTTAGGGTGGCTAACCCCCCCTGAGCCTCTTCACCCCCATAGGATTAGCCTGATAGCATCTTCGGTGCTAATTTCATACATATCCTGGCCTTTATCATCTAGCCCGGAGCTTTCCTCGCCCAGTTTTACTATTGCTACCTTGCTCCTTAAGTCAGGAAACCTAGCAATGCAATCAAACTCTTGTCTGGTAAAAAGAGCCTAAATTATTCAACAGTTATGAGAGCAATGATTGCTTTATTGTTAAGACTTACAACGCAGGGTTCATTCCGCCTCTTCTCCAGCCTCAAGAAATGATAACGCTCAAAGCTTTTTTCACTTGACTCTTCTGGAAAAAGAAAATTAAAACGGGGTAAAATTAATGTTTAAATTAACATTATCCAAGCAGCATATGAGTCTCACCTTATTCTAGAATAAGGTATACTGTTATGTCGAAGGCCAAAACTTCAAAGCTGTACCTATTTTTCCCTAAGCACAAACAAAGTAAGGCCCAGGATTTGAAAACAGACGGAATCATCTATCCGGCCATAAGTTGGGGATCAGCTCCCCCGACCCCTGCTGGCCAGGCGCAGAGCTCTTGTTCGCAGGGCCCCTGCATTGCATGATGCCTGGACCCAATGTTCATGTTATTTCCTCGAGTTGGTCACAGCGGTGGCTTCATCTCTGACAGCTTTTCATTCATGAATTCTGCAAAGGTAAGTTATTTTGAAAATTTGGGTCTTTAAGGCTCATATCGAAAGGATTTGCCATTATTTTAAACCATTTTATGCTTGTTTTTAAAACTCTGGAAACAATATCATTCCTACCACATCAAAAAAAGGCCTCTTATCACTGCTTCCTTAATGCATAGATACAGTTTTTCCACAAGATTTTACCCATTAAGCTTTAAAGAAAGAGTTCCTAAAACATGTCTCTGAGCCATCATCTGTACATGCATTCGACAGGCAAGGATACTTGGGAGGATTTGTTCTATAATTGCCCCATGTGGAAATTCACAATGACTCTTAATGGAGAAATTCTGCATGAAATGAAATTGATTAAACATGGTTAGCCTAGTATTTTCCAGATTTTTGAGCCACAGACAATTTTCATATGCATTATCTCTTAAAAACATGTTCTGGGAAATACCGTTCTAGAGAATGCTATGTAAAATCGTTGGTGTAAGTGAAAAGAAGGCTTGTTAGCGTCATTTTATATGTGAAGCTCTTTTTCAGCGGAGCATTATAATCTGCGCCCACGTATGAGCTAATATTCATTAGGTAAGCCTGGGACAAGTCTGAGATTGTTTAGTTAACCGAAGTAGGATGAAATGGACCAGGCAGGAATGATGGCTCTCTTCTTGCTCTAAGATGGGAGGTTGGAGGGGGAGAATGGGACTGTGTGGCCAGTCCAGCCTGCAGAGCAAGGCATGTCAGGGGAGGTGAGAGTCATTCCACACAGCACCTTCTGTCAGCACTTAATAACAGTCTTAGGAGCAGGCCCCAAATCTCTAAGAAGGGACCTGTCTTGGAAGAATGAGAGCACCCATGGAAGGTGCTATGGCAGAACCAGACACCCCCGATGAAGAAGAGACACCACCAGGCCATGTGGTCTGTGACGTCTAGTCTGGGCCCTGAGCAGGTGCCCTCCATCATGCTGCAGTGATGCCTCTCAGACCTGGAGGGTACCTGGCTTCTTACCTTCACTTCCCACTCTCATGTCTACATCGCATGGACTCATTTTTGATATTATATTTCATCTCAGTAATTCCATCACAGTGCCAAATGGATCCTTTTCCTACCATCCATTCCTACCTACCCGTACCATGCCCTAAGGCACTGGTTCTCAAACTTTACTTCCAGAAGCAGCGTTTCTGATTGAGTAGGTCCAGAGTGCGGCCCTAGAATCTGAATTTCTAGTAAGTTCCACACTTGGAAAACCAAAGAAACAAAAATGTAGAAAGATGCATGTAATTCCCACTTATGTAACCAAAACCTAAATTTATAACCACTGTCAATCTTTTGCCATATTTTCTTTATCCTTGTCCTAAAGTATTTTACAGGAAATTGCTTCCTGATATTTCATCCCTAAATATATTGTATTTGGGAAAGAAGGACATGTTCCTACATAACCGTAAGTTTTACATCTAACAAAACTGAAAATAGCTTGCTGATATCATGTGATACCGTTATGGACTGAATGTTTGTGTCCACCCCCCACCCCAAGTTCGTATGTTGAAACCCTATCCCGCACTGTGATTGTATTAGAAGGTGGGGCCTTTGGGAGATAATTAGGATGAGATGAGGTCAAGAGGCTGGAGCCCTCATGAATGGGATTAGGGCCCTTATAAGAGTCACAAAAGAGCTTGTTTTCTCTCTACACTCTTGGCCATGTGAGAATACAATGAAATGTGGAAAAAAGGGTTCTCACCAGAATCCAACCATGCTGGCACCTTGATCTCGAACATCTAGAGAAATTTGTGTATCAATTTCTAAATTTCTATCTATAAACTTATGAATTTCCACTGTTTATAAATTTCATTTATTTTATTGTTGTAATAAATTTCTGTTGTTCATAAGCCACTGGTTTATATACCAAAGTCAATAGTACTTTGTTATACCAGCCTGAATTAAGACAAATGCCCATTCTCAAAAATGTTTTCTACAGCTATTCAAGCTGCGATCCACTAAAGAATCACACATTGCAGTGGTTATTATTGTCTCTTGAATCTCTTTTAGTCCGAAGGAGAACCCAAACACATGCTTTTTTTTTTTTTACGACATTGACTCATTGAAAAGACATGTCCTGTAGAATGTTCCACTTTGAGTTTGTCTGATTTCTGCATGATGTCATTTAATTTTTACTTTATCCCCTGTATTTCCTATAAAGTGAATGTTAGCTTCGAAGGTTTGATTAGATGCAAGTTAAACATTTTTGTTAGAATACTTCACAGGCAAGGCAATGTAGTTCACATTGTACCACAACAATAACCACCTAAGCTGGTTTCCTAGTATTCAATACTAAGATCGATCACCAAATAAAAGGTGACAGCTTAAGCCTTCATTTTTAAAGTTATATTTTTCTACTTGCAGTCAGCAAGTGTCCTGTAGGTACCACGTCAGTATTCCTATTCCTCATCAATCTTTCACTTAACGGTGTTAGCAACTGTTGATGATTCTTGCTTGAAACGGTGATTTCATTAGGGATGGAAAAGTGGTGATTTTCTAGTTTTGCCATTCCTTGTACAATTCTTAGCCAACATTCTTCTGTAAAAGAGAAATTTTTTCATCAACCAGAACTATTTGGTTACTCTAAGATACACTTCCTACAGAAAAACCTGGCCACCGTAAGATTAAGATATGACAATGGGTACAGCTGGATTGTACTCTCTCAGACTCCCCCTCCCAATCAGCTGGGGCTTTACTGACAAGGACCCAGACACAGAGGAAAAGAAATGACACTGATTATCTGAAATGTGGTTCTAGATAGAAGCTGGGTCTTTGAAACAACACAAGAACATTGATATTGACATTGGGAAATAAGCTCAGAGCTAGACGGGCAACAAGGAGATAGACCAGGTGGGGATGACTGCAGATAGAAGACAGGTGGTCTTGGTTTTGTAGATGAGAAGGAGGCAAAATCCCCTAGAAAATTCTGGAAAAACTCCAGAAAACCAACCCAACAGGCCAGTTAATAAATGAATGTTACAAGCAGAAAAATTTCCTTTGCATGTGAGTCATCTTCATTTGGGGATTGTATCTTTCCTAACTGACCAATAAATAAATTATTGCATATCAGAGTGAGGGTATATATGTATCTATGTCAATTGGCAAATGAGAGACTAGTCTTTTATTAGTTTATTGGCAAATACATATTTGTTAGCTCAAAAAAATGTTTACTTTGTATTAGGCAATACATTCCATTTACATGGTTAGAGATAAAATTTAAATAAGAAAGCCGTACTATATAATATTCAAGAAAATTGCTACTTGGGTGAATTAACTTAAGAATGCTTTACTGAGTAATTCCTTAATACCAAATTCTCAAATTT